CGCTACTGAACTTTTCACAATCGCCATGAATATCGTCAAGGCATTATTAAAACCAAAACACGAATAGCCTCGAAGCGCAGGGCCTTGAAATAAATGATGCTGACAGACTAAGTGAAGGTATCCAAACTACTCTGCTTACTTAAAGAGACTCATGTGGGCGTCTAATAAGTGTAGTCCTACACATGAATAAATAGAAATAGCAAAACTCATTTCGGTGGCATTTTTCTCAGGAGCTCGCCGAACAACAAGTCCATTGAGTGAGACGATTTGTCAATGACTAAGGCCAGAAGCTGGAATAGACGGACTAAGAGTTCGATGGCCAGACAAAGCAAACTAGCCAATCAAAAGATTATAATCCATCAAGGGCAGGAACTAGTGGCTGTCACGGGCACCCCGGATCAGAGTCAAGAGTCTTTATCACAGGTCTAAAATGGAAAACCAATGTTGGCTGAATAGCACAATCGACATTCGACATAAAGTTGATCACAAAGGCTAACCCCTCAGCTGTACGGGACGGATTGCAGTATACCTGAAATCAAGGATGAATTCTATCAGGATCTCTCTCAGCTACTCCAAAGTGCTCAATCAACGGACGTCGTAGTAGTCGCCGGGGACTTCAATGCTCAAGTGGGATCCCTGGACGAATCAGAAAGGCTTCTTGGCGGACCACACGCAATCCCAGCCAACCGGACGGACAACAGAGACCGCCTGCTTCAACTCTGCACGGACCACGAATTGTTCCTGTCAAACACGAACTTCTCGCACAAGAAACGCCATCGACTTACATGGAAACCGCCAATCTCTTCACTGCGCTGGACCCAAGTCGACCACATCGCCGTCAGTTACCGCTGGAGGGAATCAATTCAAGATTGCCGCTCTTACTGGTCAACAGCTGTGGACACAGAACATGCCTTGTTACGAGCCAAGTTCTCCTTACGCCTGGCAAACAACCGAAAAAAGCCACCGACAACGGATATCCGCGATCCAGTGTCAGTCATTCATGCAAATCGGCCTTCGAAGCGCAGCGCTCCGATCGCCTGTCAGTTCAACCGCCAGCCGAAGGACTCAATGAACACTGG